AGCCATAGTAGGTTTGATTAACAAAATACCTTCCCAGATCCTAAATACCAAAGTAAGTAAAATTAAGTAAAGAATAACTTCCCCCAGATCCTAGAAGCCAAAGTAAGTAAGTTAGATTACCGAAAGAACAACTTCCCCAGCTCTTGAAAAACAAAGTAAGTTAGATAAACAAAACCAATAACTTCCCGCAGGTCCTAGAAGCCAAAGTAAGTTAGATTAACAAAAATAATAACTTCCCGCAGATCCTAGAAGCCAAAGTAAGTTAGATTAACAAAAATAATAACTTCCCGCAGATCCTAGAAGCCAAAGTAAGTTAGATTAACAAAAATAATAACTTCCCGCAGATCCTAGAAGCCAAAGTAAGTTAGATAAACAAAGACAGTAACTTCCCTTAGATTCTAGAAACCAAAGTAAGTTAGATAAACAAAAACAATAACTTCCCGCAGGTCCTAGAGGCCAAAATAGATGACCTGGAGGACAGACAGAGGCGGGGCTTGGCGTCCCTGCAGTCAGCTGTCGGCGACGTTGCGGCCACGAAGAACTCAGGCTCGAAGCCGCCGGATTATGACGAGGTGGGTTGCTAGTTGCCTTTTTTTGTTTGGGTGGTGGTGGGAGGAGGGGGGGGGTTAGGGGGTGTTTTGGTATTTTTCAGGGTTTATTTTATTTTATTTTTTTCTTTTCTTTTCTTATTTCTATTCTATGTTTGGGGGATATTTTGCCGTTTTCAGAGAGTTAAGTCATTTTAAATGTTCATTTGGGTTAGTTTTATTGCTTTCATATGAAAAATAAATAAATAATAAATTGCTGATGGTCATTTTGTTGCTTTTACTAGATGTATTTTTTACCTTTTTTTCTTTTATTAATATTTCTTTATTGGTATGATCTATAGAGATTTCTTGTACTGTTTAATATTCTTTAATGTAGAATCATCCGAAATATGATGATACTTTGATGTTTTTATGTCTTTCGTAACCGAAGTTTGTTGGAAATCCATTTTTTCCAGGTAATTACTACAAGTTAATTATCTGGATTAATGTAAAGTAAGACTCCCATTCAACTAGATAGTCATTTTCTCTCCAGCTACGTAACATCTCCAGAATTTGCACTTTTTAAACAGTTAACATCATGTAGATGTTTATTTGTACATTATTCTAAAGTGGTTACAACTGTGATATTAAAGTTTACATTTTTTTAAACTCAGGCATCAAAATCCATTGTCTACAATTTTAGTCGAAATGACACAAAAAAAATCCTAGTTTTATGAATCTACTAACACTAGCATCGAAATATCTAATATTCATAAACTTTCTACCCCCCTGCCATAAAAAGTCCTACAATCTAATAATGGTCTAAATTCCACCATCGAAAATTCTAGTCTTTGAAATCTAAGCCGTAGCATCGAAAAAAAAAAATAAAAATCAATCCTCAAGCATCGAAATTTTCCTTTTATCTCGAAACTGTTTGATATCTAGCGTCGGACATTAAGGTATTTCCCAACTGTCGAGGTTCTATCATGGAGTTTTTTTTTATTCATTATTATTAATATTATTAATCAGTTAAAACCGCAAAAAATTCACATACGTCAGCCAAAACTAATGTAGTGATTAATAAAAGAATCTTATTTGCGCCAGATGGATTTCGGAGCGTCAGATAGTTACCAGGTGAGATGCCATTTGCCGAGTCATTTGTGACGCGACTCTGCGAATCATTAATATGAATTTCTTTCTCCTCTTTCTGGCGTAAAAGAAAATCTGGGGTTTTATAAGATGTGTTCCCTTTCTATTTATATCATTGAAAGGCATTTTGATTTAAAGAATCACCCTGCTAAGACTAGGTGTGTTCGGTTTGCTAAGTTCAACTCCGAGTCAGTGATACAGACTCGAACGACGTGGGAGATGTCGTTTCTTTATATATTTTTTATTATGAAAACAAAAAAAAAATATATATATATATTCGTCTGAGCAGAGTGCAATTTATAAAAGGTCGATAATATTTATATAATAAATATCATCAGCTTTACTGCACATATAAAAGTGCAGTTCATAAATGCTTTCTCATCCATACTGCATGATTACAACCATTTTTTTGGCCTTATTCATAGATGTGATTTTCCTACCTCTTTTGATAACGAATTTGGCTCAGGGACATGCCATGAATTATGAAATATGTGCATAATGAATTTTCTCTGCTTTTAATTTCATCTTTACAGCATTTCTCTGAAGATACGTATAATCTTTTAAACTTTTCTGTCGAAATTATATCATCTGATCATAATCATTTGAACGTAAACTAAAAAAAAAATTTAACAATCGGTCGGAATTAATAATGGTCATTTTGTTTTAGTCTTTCGCCAATGACAATCGAGGAACAACGGGTTCGGATGAGGTAGGCCGAGCTTTGATAATCTATTACATCTATTCTATTAATTTTCCATCTATTTTGCACCGGCTTCTTTGCGCTTTTGGGCTTAGTAATGACACAGGTTAAGATAAAGGGGAGTTGCGAAGAACGAGATAGAAGAAATATGTGTAAAAGGAAGTTCGACAACTCGGTCAGCCACTCTCAGTCTACTCAAGCTGTGAGTACTGGCATCGAGCTGGGGTCAAAGCTGGGGCAGAAAAGAACTGGTCGCTCCACAACTTCATCTTGAGACTTAGATTGTATATTCCCTTACGAACATGCCTCCAACAGCCACTTGGATACGAGATCAGATTTCACTTTTATCTACGAGGCGAATAAAACAGATTTAGCCTAATGATTCGTAATGAATCGATAGAAACTCGTTGTGGGCGAAGTGAAATTTCCCTTATCATCGACGGTTCCAAGCCGGTATATCGGCTTAAAGCGGGAGGTCGTCCAGGACTGATCCAGCTTCCATTTTTTCCAGGATCGGGTTCAGGCAATGATATCTTTATAAATGTCATCAAGGAAAGACACTTAGATAAAAAAAAAAAGAAGAAGAGAAGGGAATGATGCATTTTAAGAGATTTCTTAGTTTTTATTTATTTTTATTCTAGATGTGGCTTTAACTGTTTTACTGCTTAGTGAAGATAATGAATACTGGGAACGCGTTCTGTATCATTAACTTTTGGTGTAAAGTTACCATGATTATTTTCGTGTGCTTCAGTTTGATGGTAATCTTTGGCATTAATTTGATACGTTTACTTGATATAATAATTCGGGTATTGGCATATATTTTTATATAGCTATAGCTTATATAGCTGTTCTGTTTCATCAAGGAAATGCAAATACAAAGGATATATAAAGTTTTTTATTGATAGCATTAAAATGTCTTGACGAACGTAAACTCTCATTGGAAGTGATTGTGATTAATGACATCGATGTTAACGTTATCGTTCGGTTAATTTTAACAAACAGCCGTTTTTTTCTAGCCTCGCTCAAGCACTTTTCGAGGAACATCAACTGGGTCAAAGGAGGTAGGCCTGTTTTATATATATATAAGAAATCTCTCTATAGATATTTTTGCCTTTTTTTTTGCACTGCTTATTTCCGCTATTCTATGAAGCTGGAAATAAAACAAGAGGATAAGAAGCATTAAGAGATATATATCGCAGGTGTGGGAGTAACGAAGGCGAGGAGGATGAACAAAAAAAAAAATAATAATAAAAATAAAAACATGTAAATTCCTATGAAAAAAAAAAAATTGTGATAAATTATAAGATTAGTTTATTCTCAATTTTACCCTTTCTCTATTTCTTCGGATATTCGACACTTAAGGGTAAAAACTATGGACGCTCTTGGAGGAAAAACGAATTAAAAGAGACAGTTATGTCTGTAAATACATAGTTGTCTATCTGTCAATCAATATATCTATCTGTCCATCTGTCAGTCAATCAGTATGTTTATTTGTTCTTTAATCTGTATTGAAGTAATCGAAGGGAAGAGTGTATTTTTTAGGAGATTTATGTATTTATGTTTATTACTAGTTTATAGATATATATATTTTTTCTTTTTCTTTTTTTTTAACTAATAACCGTAGATGTGTTTTGTGTGTCGTATTTTTAGGGTTGAGTTTTGTGAGTATCGCTTTATCAGCTTTATGAAGTGGATACAAAGAGTGCAAGCTTTGCTAAATGGAAATAAAGAGATGCTAATTTGCCATCAGCTTTATGTATAAATTGTATAAAAACCTTTTTTTTCAGTTTGAATTTCATAAACATATCTGCTCGTTTACTTATCTATCTTTATGCGTTTTTTTTTTTTTTTTTTGGTGTGTGTGTGTGTGTGTGTGTGTGTGTGTGTGTGTGTGTGTGTGTGTGTGTGTGTGTGTGTGTGTGTGTGTGTGTCTGTGTAGAAAGCTCTCAATCGATTTACTACTCCATTTCATTTGTTATGTTAAAAGAAGAAAAGAAAATAATTAATTGCTTATATAAATTTCCTAGTCTCTCGATAATTTCTACGAGTGATACAGCTAAACAGTCGCGGTCTGGATAATAACAATGAACAATCGGAAAAGTCGTCGCCATTTTGATTAGAAATTCAACGTTCACCTAATACCGATAATTGGTATTAGGACACGGAACTAACATGTTAAATAAGCGCAACAGAAAATTACTACACAGCAAAGAGTAAATAAAAAAGAAAAAATAAAGAAAAGAAAAGAAAAGAAAGAAAAAAACACTGATACATGCTTTCTGTTCTTGTGATAAATATTTAAATTTCCCGGCGGTTCGTTCGCGTTGAGGAAGCGATTCTGTCGTGATGGTTTTATTTGCCTTGGATTTTCTTTATTCGTTTATTTGTTTATGTGTTTATATAGTCCTTTGTTTATTTTTTAAAAATTCTTCTCTGTTTATGCATTTATTTATTTTCTTTCTTTTTTTCTTTACCTACTTATTTATCTATTTATCTATTCATCTATTTATGTATCTGTTTATAGATTTTTAAAATTTGTCTATCTATTAATCTATTTAATGAGTTATCTATTTATAAGTTAACTATTTCATTTATTTATTCCATTGATTTATTCCACCTTGCGG